ATTGGATATGCATGAATTAAACAAGACCATGTGCCTTCTCTGATCTGCAGATGTTTTTTCTCTCAGAAATGCAACTTCTTTTTTTGCAGGTGACACCCACACATCTCCTTCACTTACTGGCGATGATAATAAAGGAGATAAACAACTGGAGCTCGTGCAGTTAGACTTAATCTTTGTATGTCATCGTCACCAAGCAAAGCCACAGCAATAGGAAAACAGAGCTGTTTTGTGCTGCTCACTTCTAACTGACATTTCCTCACAGACCAAGTCGCTCATGTAACCTGTGGACTCTTTGAACTTCATCTTGTGCTTGCTACCTTTCACAGTGTGTTGGCATTGCCGTGCAGTGCAGAGCTGCAGTAGATACATCCTGTGCTTATATCCTGGTTCTCAGTTTGCCTCTCTGCCTCAGTGGTTTGAAATCAGATTGCAGAACTACAACAGAAATGCCTTCATAACAAGGAAAAAAAAAAAAAAGAGTAACAAGATAGGAATACTCTGATTTTAAAACCTTATACTGCAAGTGGAATGTGGGATTTGTAAGTAACAGATCCTTTAGTTAAGAAAGGAGATAAGGCAGAAATAAATGTATTAAAAAAATCCTTTTTTAGTTAAAGGTATATGCATAGTTAGTTTGATTTTAATAATCTCAGGAAATAACCACAGATTCTCCATCCTTCCAAGGACTGCTTTTATTGGAAATTCACTGGAGCTTCAGTCCAAACTAATGCATTTCTCTAGCTGCTGGAGACAAGCCCTGGAGTCACTTAACTCCACTTTTCCTGCAGTCTGCCATTCAGCTGTCCTGCCTTCCCAGCCTGCTGTGGTTTATTTGGCCACTGCCCTATGAATATAATTTGCTGCCTTTGTCTCGAAAGTTTCCTGGGATTCAAATGTGTGCCCAAGCCTGCTCGCAGGACCCAAACAGTGCGGTTAATTCCTCATTGGTGCAGAGCAGCCTGTGCACTAAAAAGTACTTCTTGAGGCAAGAAGGACCAGGGTGTTTTTAATGCTGTTATTTCTAGTATGTGGCCAGGGAGAGGCAGAAGTCTGCTTTGCATAGTGCATCCTGCAGCTGGTTTGTTCATTGCTGATCCCTGCGGGACTCTTCCAGAGTTCCACTGAAGCGGTTTTAGGGTGGTTTCTCCATTAACCCCTTCTTGCTTCTCCCACCTTTAGTGGTGGGTTGCTCCATCACAGGGCTGGACTTGAAATTAGTGTCAACTGTGTGTGTCTGCAGCAGGGACAGTGGTCATTCCTTTCTGTCCGTGGCTGTATCTTCGCAGCGTCATCCTTAATTCTTGTTGTTAAGAGAAAACGTTGGCATCACCTCAGCATGCTGCTAATGAGAAAAAGACCTAGCTGGGATAATGCTCCCAAAGCTGACATTCTGCCCTGGACTTCAGCCTCTGTCCTTGTGCATCAGCAGCGGATGAGCTGTGCAAAGAGAGCAATGATTTCAATTCTCCAGCCAGTTTTGACTTGGCTGGGAAAGGCTGAGAAGCCCACAAAGAAATGCAAGCAGCCTACTTCATCATTTTCACAAGCCAAAAAAAAAAAAAAAAATCAGCTCTCATCTTGACCACTGGTGTTTGAAGATTAAAGTAGCCCGAGGGCTGTCACAGGCAGCAAGCATAGCAGGAAAATGAGTTCATTCTGACTCACAACAGAGTGATCTAATTTAACGGGGCACTGACAAGGCCGTCGGGCATTAAGTTGGCTATTATCCTCCTCCGGCTGGCCTGGGTGCATTGTCCAAGCCTTCACCTCCTTCCCTCTGTGGCTGTGGCTGGTTGCAATTTGCAGCCACGTTGCCCTCCCTCGCCCCGCGTGGCCACACGTGCCGGCCAGCGTGGGCTCAGCCGGCCGCGGGCGCCTGAGGGCAGAGTTAGGGCCACGGCCGTGTCCTGCTGCCACCCTCTGTCTGAGGGGCTTGGGCTCACTCACGCTCTGGACCTGCAGCATCTGTGCAAGAGGGGAGCCTCTTTGTGTGTGTGTGCTGGGAGCAGAGGGCACGGCTCCTGCGGGCAGGACAAAATGCCCTCGGGGTGATGGAGCCGCTTTGCTCGCAGCAGGGGGCAGAAGCGAGGCTGGGTGGGAAAGCTTCCAGCTGGCTGTTCTGCCTTGGATTGCTGAATTTGGCAACCTGACCTCTTCGGTTAAGGTCCTTCAGTATGTTGTAGCTTCTGTAGCTTCTTTATTTGAGAGCAAAAGGGTTTTGCAAAAAGGCCATTTAATCCTCCTACCAGATTGAAACCACTACGTTGATTTCCACACCGCCTCACTGTTACACGTTGCTTGTTTGCACCTTCATTTTTGCTGGTTAGAGAGTGATACTTCTGGACTGAAAAAGAGGGGTTGTTCCAGTCCATGAGAACATTTCAGCCTGATCCAGAATAGTTCCCCTGAAGGAACAAAAAACCCAGTGAGGGAAAGGAATGATGTGGCTACAGAATGATATAATGGCTAGGAAAACTGTGACGTTTGAAAACTCCTGGTCATGTCAACAGGCACATAAATCAGACAGAGCCAACTCCCAAAACCTGAGGTGCTCCTGGTGAGTTTATGAGCCCTGAAAAAAAGATTTTGTTATGCTTTTATTAACAAACAGGAGAAAAAAGTGAGAACCACTGCCCTAATCTCCTGGAGATGCAGGGAAAAAAGAAGGAAGGAAGGAAGGAAGGAAGGAAGGAAGGAAGGAAGGAAGGAAGGAAGGAAGGAAGGAAGGAAGGAAGGAAGGAAGGAAGGAAGGAAGGAAGGAAGGAAGGAAGGAAGGAAGGAAGGAAGGAAGGAAGGAAGGAAGGAAGGAAGGAAGGAAGGAAGAAAGGAAGGAAGGAAGAAAGAAAGAAAGAAAAAGACAAAGAAAGAAAAAGAAAAATCATGAATTTGCGACCATTCAACTTTTTGTCTCTTTGCAAAAGGGTTTGTATGAAACTGGCAGCCTCATAATACTTTGTCAGCCAAATTGGCCACATCAGACTATCTGCATGCCCTTGAGGCTGGAATAGTAACATACTGTAATGTGATGCTCTAACAAAAGCGCCTAATTGTGAAGAACAATCCATTTGCATCAAGATAAGCAGCTAGTAATGCTTCCCTCTCACAGCCACTTGCAGACACCGACTGGCTACAAATTACTGCCTAGTACTGTTTTCAATGCTTCCCCATTCTTCACCAGACAAAGCTGGTATTGTACTCATTACCCTAACCTGTTTTCTGGTTAGTGCGAGTGACTAACAAAATTGTCTTGGTCTGTGATTCATCTTGAATAAACTATTTTCCAGTCACACAGCAAAAGCCTTGCTGAAAGCGGAAAGATTTGATCTTTAGCATTTGCTTTTGTGCTCCTAAAACTCAAGCAGTTTGTACCACGTTATCGGTATCAAACATACCATCAGTAGCCCAAGTTGCTTCTGCTGTCAGGGCATGTATACAGGCATAATGAGCTTGGCAGGAGTCAGAAGCCTGCTATGCACAGGAAACAAAATGCACAGAAGTTAAACGCACTGTGGGAGCACGTGGTGTGTGGGATTCCCACATGGCTGTTTGGCAAACTGAAGATGATGGGAAAATCAAAGGGATGAAAGACCCCAAATCCTTCAAACAGAAGACGAGTGCATATCAAATCCCCACAAGGCTCCAATCTCCTCTGGCAACTCCCTACCCAGCAGTGAAGAGGAACGTGGCATACAACACAGCCTGTGAAGCAAGGAACTACTCATGGCTGCGTGTGGAAGGTTGCACAATGGTGCTGGGGATTAACAAATTGGATGGGTTCCTGAACTGCTGAGTCTGGCATAGAAATGAAAGTAAAAGTGATAATATGCAAAGGGGGAAGATGTGATATTGTTCGACAGACATGCAGGGTTCGTGTTTATAGCCAGAGAAGAAAGAAGGGGCATTTTCAAAAATTTGCTACAGGAGATTTGGGAAGTTGGGGAATTCAAACCTGAAGGGATGCCCAAGGCTTTTGGCTTCAGTAAACCTGACAACCCCTACAGTGAAGGTTCGAGATACTTGCAAGCACAGCACAGGATACCTCCTCAGCATCCGTCTCCCAGGAGCTTGGTTCCTGGAAGTGCAGAACAGCCAGACCCTTGGTTTGTGCTGTGCTGGAGACGTGCAGAACAGGGATCACACGCAGGGGCTGGAGCTGCACAACCCTTGCTTGACCCCTTGCAACATGTGCTGATTGCTGCTCAGATATGATGACTGCAGTTCAGATGCTCATTTGACACAGAGATCCAAACATGGAAGATAGGAGGATGAAAAATTAAATCACTGTTCATCGGGATGATAGTTGCATTTGAATTAACCCTGTCTGCAAGGCAGAAAACTCTACTGATCTCTCACCACCCTCCATGAGGGCCAGATTCCAAGTTGAGAGCAGCAGGAGATGGAGGATTCTCTTTACATCATCTATAAAGAGCATATAGACCCCAAAGGCAGGGGCAGGGTGGGCCAGGACTGTCCTGGCATGTTACGCGTTGCCTGAGACCAGATGGAATAAATTAGGATTGCTCTGTTTGTCATCTATGCTAATCCACATATGCAGAGCCAGACCTGAGGCTTAACTGGCTTGCTTCTCTGCAAACACTTTCTTTTAGTCCCTTACAGTGGTGGATAAAAGGTACTTTTACTGGTATCTCGTCTTCAGCAGTCTGTAATTCGTGTCACTACAGTGCTTTAATGGCAGTGTCCATTCTAACACAGGGCTTAGGCTCTTCCTGCCCTGGTTCTCCTCATTATTTTTTTCATTATTTGTTTAGGATGTTTCCCTGTATCTCCCTTTCTTTTTGGTCAGCCAACAGATTTAATAGTTATTCCAGCTGTTCCAGGTCTGACTTTCCAGTATCATGTCCTGGGAGCTATCGGTACATTTAAAATATGGAAATTGCAAAAGTGTTAGGGGAAGGAAAACAAATTATACCAACATTTGCTTTAGAAAGTAATACTTTCCCCTGACTAGCCTCAGGCCCAATGCATTTATTCAAGATTTAATTTACTGTATCTATTTAATAATTTTAAGAGGAGATTGCAAAAAGTATAATAAAATTATAAAGAATATAGATGTGAAACAGATGCATCTACATGTACAAATGTACATAAGCAGTTGAAGTGAAGAAGTTGACCCTGTTTTATGCTTTCAGTACACATTTGCCATCTCACCTTACATTTGCACTAGAAGATGTGATTTTTCACACAGCATTGAGATCAAAGCACTTGTTAATGTTGCATTACACAATGACAACGCTGGTGGATGGTGTGGAGCTGGGTGAGACAAAGTCGACCAGACTGATGCTGTGCAAGGAGTAGCTGGAGGCCCCGACACAAGGCCAGCATGCTGACGGGGCCAAGCAAGGAGGGAGGAGCAGGGTGGGAGCATCCCAGTGGTCAGTGCCAGCAAGCAGGGCCCAGCTGGGACCATGTAGGGACCTGCCTGGCCCCTTCCCCTAAGCCCCTCCACGTACTTCTCACTGCCACGGCTGTAGTACAAAGGCACAGTAAGGGGCATTTTAGGAAGAGAGTCAAAAATGTATGTGGAAAAGTGTAAAGCGTAGGACCCAGAGTGAATAGTTTGGGGCCTGGTCTACAAATTCAAATAACACTTCCAATTTGGAAGTACCAAGAGTTGTACTCGGGTTAAGATGTCAAAGCAGGTTGTTGCCACACTTCCACACTTCTGCGTCTCTGTTTTTGTCATGTCCCCTCAAAAAGAAAAAGAATCTTCTCATCCTGATTTGAAGGAAAATAAATTTTGAACAATCCCAATTTTATTTCAAAGTGGGAGTATGGATTTATTTTTATTTTTCTGTTTGTTTACTCAGTAGTCTCTATAAAATAAATCTAATCTCCTCAGTATGAAAAAGGACCTTAAGCTAAGACAACCCCAATTACAGTTTAGGATGCCTTGTTAATGTAAACATACTTAATTAAAGGTATGAAGCAGGTTTTTGTTGAAGACTTCACTCCAGCACGGAGCATCCCTAAAGAACATCTTTAGATAAAAAGGCAACCTTCAGTCAGCACAAAGTTCAAAGTGCCTGGAGCAGTCTCTGTTCACAATGGTAGGACCTGAGGACCCTCTCGCACCCAAAACGTTGGTTGCTTACTAGGAAATAATTCAAGTGATCTTTAGTCACTCCTTAGTGGATGCCGATTTTCAAGAGAGCTCTGGTACAGCCTTGGTACCAGAAAAAGTGATGATTTTTCAGGAGGACTCAGCAGAATACCTTTTGAATAGAAACAAAAATTAAAAAATGAGGGTAAAGATCTCCTCCAAATCTGACTTCCACATCTTCTAATGCTTCCCATGTTGCTTTGTGTTCCCTTGCTGTAGGCAAACAAACGGGGCTTTTCATGATGACAGCAGACCTTTCTTCCTCTCCCATTTGATTTTTTCTTGAGATGCATTGGTTTCATGCTCTGTGGAGTTGCTTGCTTATGACTTCAGATGGCCTTTATGAACATTTACAAAATGTCCAACCTAAGGACTCACATGTTGAATGTTGAGTCATTTTCTTTCGGTCCTGGTTTGTCCTGATGGCCCATTTGCACTGTAGCCTAATTACTTGGATGCCTTCTGGCTGACTTTTCCATCTCTTTCAAGTGCATCTTGACTTTCAAACTATTCCCTGCTCTCAGAGGGAAGACAGCTTGTTTTTTTCCCATTTTTCCATATTTAACAGCAACAATGGTTTCTGAGGATCAGACATTCAGGAAAAGAAATTACAGGCTAAATCTAAGGGAGCAGTTATTGGGAAAGGTCAGATGTTCTGGTGCTGGTTCCCCCAACAGCTGGGCAAAAACACCGGTGTTAAGAGGAGACCAGCTCTGATGCCATCCTTATCTCTTACCCACTGACAACCCTCAACACAAGTTGCATCTCCTTATCAGCCATCATGGAAAACAACCCTTTTTTACTTTTCCCCCATTTTTTATGTTTGCTTTTTTTTTTCCCCTTTTCCTTTTCTTTTTGCATAACACTGAAGTTTAGCCAATCCTTGCTTTGGTGTAGGTATCCATGGTCATTAATAACAAACATGATGAGAAAACAACAGGCTGTCCTTCGCTGTCCAGGAGCAAGTGACTGCCTAGAAGCACAAGAGGACGGTGGTGGCTCGGCTGGTGGCTCTCACGGCTGCCAGGAGCGATACGCAGTGTAGTCTCGTGTTGGTGCATAGGATGGGTAACCCTTGTTCTTCTGGTAGGGTGGGTGCCGGGGAGTCATGTTCATGTAGTCACTCTGGTGGTACCTGTTCTTCTTGGACTTTTGCTGTGGGAGAAGGGGCAAGAAGTGTGAAACCATTTCTGCAAGTAGCCTGTCCCACCCGGGGTGAACATTGAAAAAGGGGAAGAAAAGAAAGGGAAGAGAGATCCTTTGAGCAGAGAGCTTTTGAGCATTAATAAGATGTGAGAAACATGAGCGATGCATTTTATTTTTTCCTTTTTTGAGTTAACAAATAGTCTCATCTGACTGTCAGATACATTAACTGCTGATGGTCCTGGCTCTGGGTCCTGGTTCAAGGAAGCAGGCATGTTCATAAGAAAGCCTCAGGTTTAAATACGTTTACAGAAGAATTAGAACACGTGTTCTCGTAATATAATCCATGGAATTTGCCAAACCCTAATACAAGTCTACAGCTCATCTGCTGAGGGATGTGGAATGTCAGTTCTCCAGGTGAAGGAATGCTGCAGACCAAGGATACAAACTGATTTCTCTCGCCACCGGTTCTCAGCTACAGAATGACTCAGCAGAAGCAATGCAGCCTGAGCAGTGAAGGCTGTCCTCATTTATTAGGAAGGAAAAGAAATTGGCTTAACTGAAGCAGAATAAGCAGGAAAAATCAGCCTAGGCTATATATATCATGACTTGCATTTACATGACTGCATTTACAGCAGGAACACATGATGTATACGTGGTGCTGAGCACTGTTTCAAGAGGAAAAAGAGCCAGAGCTCATGTTAATGTTTTATCTGGGCCTTAAAAATCTCATTTCCAATGTTGAATTTCTGCCTTATAGGGCCTCTGTGAGACAGGGAAGGCATCTCTTTCAGAACTAAGAGTAGCAGAAGACAGGTGAAATGATTTGCCTGTAATGATAGAGGAAGTTTGTGGCTACAGCAGAATTTGCACCTGTGGCTCCTGCAGGCTGTGCATAAGGTTAGTGTTCTTGCATAGCTTAAGGCCTTCCTACAGGGACTGGGGAAAGTGCTTCCATTCTTTTTCCTTAAGACTGATTATACATTTTTACAATCTCCTTTTTTCTGAAATCTCCTTTCTACATACATACACACACACATATACTGCAGTGTACGTGTGATGCTGTGGAATTGGAGGAGGTCTGCCTTAGCAAATCTAATGGCTGAATTATGCTCTACCTGCAGTGTGAGGCAGTTAATTGCTGTGAGACACTTCAAGCTTTTTGATGTTAATGTTATATATATGCAAGGTGTTGAATGGAAATTACATGCTGCTGAAGCTGTGCAATGCAGATGGTGCATTTAATCATTAGATACAAAAGTTTTATCTGTCTTTCTTTATCTCCGTAATATTAAAAAAAAATCTGTTAAAATTGAGAAGGTAATTTCTCATTAGAGAAATACATTTTGCTAGCGTGAGTGAGTGCTGGATTGTTCTGGGATAAAGTATGGCTGCTTCTGGAGAGAAAAGCAGTTTTCCTCCAAGGCAGGCAGAACTGTGAGGAATTAGACAAATCTTTAGCTGCTTTCAGGAACTCTAGTGAAACAGGCTTGCTATGGCTGTCAGGTATCATTTTTAGAACCTCATTTTAACGTCTACAATGACATGTAGGCAGCTTTATTTACATTCAACAGCACTCCAAGTACATCCACGCTCACGGCGTGCGTTATCAGGAGAATACCACCAGCAGCGATAACAGCAGGTACAAACTGATGCAGCAAACAGCACGCATCACAGTGCAGCCTTGTCACTCTTGCTGGGAGCAGACATCTTAGTAGCACAGCGCGTAGCCATTGGGTACCGAAAGAAAATAGCAGAGAGAAAATGGTTCAGATTGTGAACGATGGATTTGAAGCTATAATATCTCATCAGCCACCGTTGCACAGCACGGTAACACCAGCAGCTGTTTGCTGTAATCCTCTTGGCTCTCCTATAAGTCTCTACATAAGGCACAAAGAGGGACCACGTAACCTGCCTTTGCAGTTTGCTTTGACAATGTCTGGTTCAACTGTTTTGCATTAGAAATATGTATATACTGAGCAAGCGTATTTTTGTGAAACAGCTAACAGAGCTCAAGCTTCAGCTAGCACTGAGAGTGGTTTTCTGTGCACGTGCAGCATTTAGCCTGTCAGGGACCCTGGGACCTTTTTTATACAGGCTACATCATAACCATAAGAAGCTATTTAATGGCAAAGATAGAGGGGAGAGGAGTGCAAGTAACAGAACTCTTCACGGTCGTTGTTCAAGTCTTTCCCACGTGGAGTAAGAAGTGTAAAATCACCTCTGGGAAATCGGGATCCCAGGACTTGTCCTGGGAGGTGGCATTCTGCTCTCTTTACTCCAACAGGGCTGCTTGTTGAACCAGGCAGAACTGAATGTGACGTGGGCCAGGCAAATCTTCAGATAGATTAGAAAGCAAAAATAATGAGCCACGAGGCTGTCTCTGCTTTCTTAGGGTAAATACACTATTGAGACCCTTGTGCCCCTGTTCTCTTGCAGTCAAGCTGCCAAAAAGAGTGAGTATGAGAAGGAATTGCTGGATAAGCACGACACATCAGTGCGGATGGTCTTGAGCCAGCTGAGAGCTCCCTCAAGATTGTTTTACTGTAGGTGAGCACCTTCTGTCAGATTAGCCTTAAGGGAGTTTGCCAGGAGTGCTTGGAGAGGTAGATTTCCCTGACAGGGACAGCTGGCTGGAGCTGGAGACCGTGTCCCAGTTTGGCTGGTGTGCTGGGCATGGCAAACACATTATGGCATTACTGTTTGCTTTAGGACTCTGCTACAGAGGCTGACTGCCCACCTGGTGAGCATCTGATGTTCCAGCTGTTTGGGGGCACAGCACAGGTGTGCACATGTAGCTGGGGTAGAGAAGTGCTGTGATCCTGAAGTGAGGGATACCAGTGAGCTTGTGGTAAATAAGGCAGGAATAGCCTGAGAGATGAACTAAGGACAAAGAGCATATAGAGCAAAGGAAAATGGTTTCTTACCCAGTAGCTAATAAAGATTGCAGTTATTAGGATACTGTAGAAAGCAAGAAGTCCCGTCACTGCCACCATAACCCAGTAAGAAATTGCAGACTGAGGCTCTTGTGTTTGGACAGGTGTCTCTTTAAGGAAAAGAACAAAAAGAACTTTAAGCACTTAAAAGCAAAAACGTCCATCTCCACTTACTTGTTCTTTGTTCCAACATGCCATTTATATTAATCGTATCATACACCTGTTTAAGACATCTTTCTTGGGATATCAGGAGCAGGAATGTCATTTTAGGAGGCAACCCAACTATTTTTTTTTTCTTTATAAAGGAACAAACTGCCTCAAGCCATCATATAAGGAGTGTCTATAGGGAGGATACTGGCCTCCAGAGATTCCTCAGCTTACCTTTCACATGAATGACGGTCCCGTTGCTCTTCTCATTGTAGACATATGGAGGTGGATACATGGCCTCAATTTTGCAGAAGTAGATGTCAGTTTGGTTGGCATTCATGTTCCAAAGATTGAAGATTACTTTGTCTTCATAAAAAGTCCCCTGGCAGTTGAATTCTTTATTGGAATTACTGCTAGATTTGGTCTTGTTCCATGAAATAAAGCAGACTTCAACTGCACTGTTTGTTCCTTTGTGCAGCGAAGCTCGAAATTCCTTCCCTGTTCCATTGTATGAGTAGTTGCAGACTAGGTTTGCCGTTTTGTTGGCTACGATGAGCAGAGGATGCTGAGCCACTAAAATCTTGTTTTCTGGAAGGGAGGGCAGAAAGAGAGAAAAACACTTGTTTGCAAGGTACACCATGAGGCTTCAGAACCACACATCCTCCTCTGCAGCTCTTCTCCGTGTCTCCTCTCCTCTGCTGATGCTCCCTACTGGGGAGCACATAACCACCAAGCTGCAGAAGCAGTTTCTCACAGGAGCTTGTTGCAGCAATCCCCCTCTTTATAAATAACTACAAAGTCACTAGGGGAGCATGTGAGGTCAAGGGTGTTTTTCTTTAGTCAGGACAGTAGGACAGAAAGTGGCTCATGTGATAAAGATTGAGCATCAAGGCCCAAAAGGCTGCCTTGTTTCTTTATTCGTTTGTTTGTGTGTATTTAAGGCCACCTTTTTACCCTTTCCTTAGCAAGCAGATTCCCAGGGAACACTACAGAGTCAAAATACTATGAATTTAATGCTTACTTAAGTAGTCAGGTAAGAGAGTATTATTGATACAATTGGTTTGTAATCCATGGATAGTCTTGAAGAGTTTGCAGGTGGAATTTGTTTAACCATTTCAAGGGTTTGGGCCTTGGACAAAGAGCACTAAAAGCATGAACTGCTATCATTTTAATTTTAAATAATTCATTTCACTAGCTAGCAGCTGCAGCAGATTCTTAATCTCTCAGAGGACTTGGGATCTGACTAATCTGACACTGTTGGCACTTAGCACTTGAATGGCCTGCAAAAAAGCATGTCATATGAAGGTATAATTCAATTTGGATTGACCGGACTGACAGATAAACAGGAAATGTTTTCTGACATGTAGAACTCTGTGCTATGATTAGCTGAACAATGAAACACTGCATAGGCTGTGCAGAGAGACAGCTTCTTCCAAGACAATTCATCCTGTGCCAGTGGGGCCTTACTTCTCAAATTGTGACCTGTAAGAGGAAGGAGGTTTGGGTTCTTAAGCTAGGAACTTGCCAGAAGCAAGGAAAGCCCTTTTGTGTGTGTATATAACCACATGCAAGTGCAATTCATAGGAGGTCTCAGTAACCTTTGATGGATCACTGAGAATTGCTGTGGTTGAGAGAATGGCAATTGTGTCTCCTCCAAAGTCTGCTGCAAAACTTGCCTTCATTCTACTTAATCCACATAAGGATACTTGAAAAGGCTGGTTAGGGAAATGGAGTGGGAAGGGGGCCAGATCCAGAATGCCCGGAATATAAGTGTTTCAATGTGTTCAATATTTAGGACTAAATGGCTACATGCAGTGTGCTCACACAGGCACAGGAAGAGGGACCACCCCAGCCTCTTGAGTAGGACACTCTTTTGGGGTGTAGGAGGCCCAAGTTCAGTTCTGTGCTCTGGCTTGGTCAGAGACCTACACCTGCCTCCCTCAAGCTTGGTGAGAGACTGGGCTTCTTGGGAGCTGCACAAATGTTAGGCTGGAACAGACCACTGAAGTCATCCTGTCTAGTGCTCCGCTTTCAGTCAGACATAAGACAAAAGGCAGAGAAAACAGATCTGTTTGTACAATTGACACATTATTTACACAGGTCCAAAGAACATCTGCTCCAAATACCACACAGTGTATCCACAGGTGTTATGAAGGCACTTTTTTCATGTTGAAACTATCTCACTTTGCTCAACTTTCATTATGAGAGCTGTGAGTGAAGACAGTGAACATACATAGTGGTCACGGCTATCAGGGACATGAGAGATTCAGGTGTAACCCCTGCTCTGAATCAAAACAGAAGATGGACTTGAGTGTGGGTCTTCCAAATTCAGAGTGAAAACCTTTCTCCATCTGATTATACTAGGCTCTGGCTCCCATTCTTATTAATTTTTGTGGTTGCTAGACATTTTCCTAATAAATTGCTATTTCCCTGCCAGCTCCCATTCTCCTACCACTCTGCATCTGAAAATTTCCAAGCAGCTCTACTTAGCTGTAAGCTGGTAAAAGGGTCTGTAAGGCTGTTGCTCTCCAGCTCCCCAGAGGCTTGAGAGAAGTTTGTGCTAGATTTCTTTCATCAGCCACTGCTGATTTATGAGGAAGTTAAGAAGCTGAGCCAGAAACCCTCTGCTAGGTATACCCTGGCATACCAATTGTAAGCAACGAAGGGAACGAGACTGGAACAGGGAGTGAAGTAAACATGAAGAGGTACATGATTTTGCCAGGACTAGTGGTAGGGTGCGGGCAGTAAAAACAACCCACGGCCAGCAGGTTCTCCAGTTACCAGCCCAGCCCATGAAACTGCTGAAGTTGTTCATTTTCTCACGGGAAGCCTTGTTTACAGCCCTTTCTTCTCATGAGAGCAGAAAGATGTGAGACAAGGAATGCTCTAATGCCTTGTCTTTAGCAAAGAAAGATTTCGCAGTCCGTCCTCCTTGTGTCTCTCTGTTCAGCACAGCTAGCTTGGAGGTTGGAGCAGAGCTCGTCACAGCTCACAAATCTCATGTTCGCAGGGAACCCAAACACCATGAAACTTTGTATTTTGACAAAGAGTGAGCATTTCCATGCTTTCCAGCACAAAGAGCCACACGTCTTGGAATCACAGCACAGGGAGGCCGAATAACAGCAGACAAGGCAGGTTTCTATCGGAGGTGTTGCCTGTGGTGAATTTTCATCGAAATGAAGACATTTCAGCAAAACATTTCAGTTTCATCGAATCAGCACTTTCCGACAAAGGTTCTCACATAGGCTTATAAGGCATTCTAAGCAAGGAGTGAGGTTTGCATTCCACCCCTTTAGACAAAGTGTTTGATCATATTTTTCTTGGCCAGAAAACTGATCTTTGGCCCAGGTGGGAATGTGCAAGACCCCAGCGGAGTTGTTCTGCTTTTAGCATAGCAGAATTCTGCACACCTCACTTGAGACACTCATTCTGATTTTCACCCCAGTAGTGCCCACCACTACAACCCTGACTGTCACAGGAACCAAATACACCTTCAGAAGGGATTTTTCTGTTTCAGAGCTTACAACCAAAACAGGCATCCTGGAAGAGGCGCTTGCAGAAGCACTACACCTCCGAAAAAATGCTTGCCTGTTTTTCACTGCAAGTGCTTACCAACAGCTGTTTTTCAGTGCAAGTACTTACAGAAAAACAGGTGGATGTTTATTGCTTAGCCTGAGCAGATTTTCTCTATGTCCGGAGGAAAGACAAAGAACACCGAAAATCTCATCACTGGGGGACCACCTTCAAGTGCTGTTTACACTCTTCTGCAGAGCCCAGTGACCTCCCCCCACCTTTTGCTGCTGTGAGCTAGTCTGGATTCCTGATGTACAGTAGGACATAGCTTCATGCCTCGAGCTCCACTATTTCATTACAGCTTTGAACTATTTCTGTCCCTACCATGATATTTTGCTAATTGTCAACTGGACATTTTTGATGCAGCCAATGAAGAAAATAATTTCCTTCAACTTATTTCTTGGACTTTTGGCCCAGTCTTGCCTTGCAGGCTGGGTGTTGATAACCCAGCCTCATGCTGCTGATGTTGAGGTGGCTGACCAGTTGCAAAAAGCTTACTTGTGGAGCATTAAATGAAGACTGTGCCTAAGTGATTTGTTTACGCCAAGCTTAAACTGAATCTGCTTTCAGAAAGTGGCTCTGCTATGTCAAATCTGAACTGGTTGAGGGAGGTCTTTTGTTTTTCATTTATGGGAACTAATGAGCACCACATGAATTGGTTGGGCTGCAATGCCAGCAGGGCTGGGGCAGGGCAGGCTTACCCCACAGGCAAGTTAGACAGGCCCTGCTGGCATCCTGCTCCTCCAGGCTCGCGTTTTTTTCAAATCGAAGAGCATCAGTCATGCCAAAATGTGTTCTGATTTTGCAGTGAAGAGAAAGTAAGGCAAAACATCCCTTTTTTCATTTCTGTTCTGAATAGGATTTGAGTATATTCTTTGTAGGATCTGGACCAGTCTGAGCAAATGAGCTGAAGTTGCTTTTGCCTTCACAAAGGAAGTTCTTCTCATGTCTCTTTGGGTTTGTTAAAATGGTGAAACTCCGAAACATCTCATATGTGTTTCCAATAGCATATGTTTTCCCCTAAATAGGTTCACGATTGCTATTTCCAGAGCTGTGTTCAGTCATGCTGCATAGTAATAAATATCTGTGTCTTGGCCTTAGCCAGAAAATGTCAGTTACAAAAAATCTTTGTCTACAGTTTCAAAAATCAGTAAGGTCTAGAAAAGTAAAATCATTTAAATCAGAGCGCGCATGCTGCGGGCTTTCTCGGGATCATAGGTTGTATAAGCAACAGTGCACTGTTGAGCTTTTTTGTATGTTGTCATGCTTGACATATCTTATAATCACACGTGAGGGTTTTTTTGTATCATGACAAAATGTTGGCCATCCATACCTGTAATACACAGACTCCCTCATCATGGACCCCGGTGCAGGCAAAACTTCACTGAAGTTAGTTTCTTCTTTCTTTCTTTCTTTCTTTCTTTCTTTCTTTCTTTCTTTCTTTCTTTCTTTCTTTCTTTCTTTCTTTCTTTCTTTCTTTCTTTCTTTCTTTCTTTCCCAAGAAAGTGAAATAAAGATGACAGAGTATGGAAACTAACTATTTTGATTTTTTTTTCCAGAAGTTTCCATGAATCATTATCGACTATTGGAAAAAAACATTCTGCTAAAAATATTTTCTGCTCTTCTTTCTTTCCCATGCCAATTGATTCCAGGGAGCTATTTGCCAGGCATGGAGTCTGGGATAAGTTGGGATTTCTATAGGCACAGTAAAGAAACGTCCCACTGGATTCTGCCAGGAACTTGCTTTATCCACAAATGGAAAGATACACAGCTATGTTACACACCAAGCTATCCCATTTTTTTGCTGCTGCTGTTTCGTTGTTCAATTACCTTTTTACTCTGCTTCCCCAGGTACAAGAGTCTTTATCTGATACTTTGGTTCTAGGTGACCCAGCAGTGGGTGTAGCGTGCAGCTGGAGGGATCTGCCCCTTCTAACCGTGATAAACTTGGGGTTTGCTAAACTTTCCTCCTTTTGTGCGAATACTGCAGGAAGCCCAGTGCTGCACAAAGCACAGGTAATTCCTGCTGTAACCAAGCCCAGTTGGAGCACAGGGTTTCTTCTTGTCCATTTGTGATTTTTTTTTAAACCAGCATTTGTTGATGTCATCCTAATCACAGCTAACCACCTTGTACTTCTTCTGCATTCTGGTAACCTCGGTGGGTTCGAGGTTAACTTTTACACCCTGAGTCTGTTTTTAACACCAGCCAGAATGTGAGGCAAATACTGAAAAGATGAGGTCGTTTGTGGTCCACTGCAGTGGAAACCCACGTACATTACTTTATTTCATAAAACACACAGGTAGCCAACGTGCTCTGCCTGCCTCTCTGGCAGACTGCAGCAACATAATTATTTAGTCAACAGAGAGGGGGTGATGGGGATGGGGAGGGACGAGCTGTGTAAACATTGGTGTTACTGCAAAAGGGGAATGAGCAATCTGATCGTTCACGTCTCTTCCCAGCTTTAGAGTTCCACCATTCAAACTCAACTTGCTGCACTCCCTGGCAGTCTAACAGAAGCAGAATGGGACAAATTTGTTTGTCTTCACTAGAACAAAGTATCTGAGGCCTATAATACATTTTGTGGCTCGAGGAAGTCCTGCATGGTCTTGACCTGCCTTAGTGTTTTCCATGCAGTAAGGATCATTAATCTCAGGATCAAAATGAAAAGAAGAGGTAGACAAGAGACATGGAATAAAGCTGAGAGCCCTGAGAAGCAAGCTAACTTGTGTACTTCTCTTTAAGCAGTTGTACAGTCTCAGTGAAGCTGTTGGAGAAATTCAAGCTCTCAATGTAAAGCAAGTGTGCAGATGTCTAGAGAATCACGGCATAACCCCAGTGTCTGATAACCACACACTTTATTTTGTTGCAATTTAAAAGAGTTGCATAAAAGTTGTTCACACCTTATGGAAATGTTTTTAAAACTGTTAACCCATTGCTGCTACTTATCCCCTTCTGGAATTAAAGCCTTCTCTGACAACCCAGTGGCCGTCTGTGGAAATAATTATGACATTGCAAGCACAGAAGGATAAACATGGTAGAAGGACAAGGAAGGCAAAGACTATCATCTCTCAAAGACATACCATTGCTTCATGCAAATCACAATGCCTTCACTGAGGAAAAGCGTTGCAGAAAAATAACACAAGTTAGGAAAAATGTGATCAATTGTATCTCTTGCATTAGGAAAAGCAACTCTTTAAACTTCTATATGTGAAAGTTTTTGTACTGGAAGTCAGATTTTTGTTCTTACCTGTAAATTCTCCATCAAATACAAAGCGCTGATATTTGGAGAAGAAGCAAATAACAACAGTTCACAGACCAGTGACTTGAAAAATTGTCTGTCTCAAGATTATCCTTACAGAAACCATCATCCCTCGCCTTGCTTTGCATTTTGATGTATCCCTTGAAAAGACGTTAACTCTGAACATACTGCTTAAGTGAGAGACAACACCCAGACAAAACACCCTCAGCCACAACAACTGAAGATTCAGAAAGATTCACCAAGACTCCAGGCTCCTAAATCACAAATAGACATTTGTGTTGTTGCAGGTATTTCCAGAAAGAAGCTGGATATCTCGTTAGTACAATAAACTACTAAACAGTGCAAAACTCAGAAACCCAGCAATTCCCACGCTCCCACCTTTGAGCTCCGTAAGCCGCTCTGCTGTTGTTCCTTTTGTGTGTTAGCTCTGGGGGGATGCAGGTGGGCACCGAGCTGGGCCACAGAGCTGCACACAGCAGGCTGGCAGGTGGCCGAGAGGCTGCCCCAAGGGGGGCACTGGCACCAGCTCAGCCCAGATCCCCCCAGCAGAGGCTAAAAAGCCACGAAACACTTGTGTGAGCAAAATCTGTACAGGCTGGGGGAAGGTGAAATAACCCCCTGTAAATACACATGCAGTTTCCAAATGCATCTCAAGAGATGGCGGATCAAAAAGAAAGCTCTTGGGTCCTGGAGGGATACTTGTGCAAGAAGAAAAATCAGGCTCTTTTAGAGCAAGCTGATCCATATGCAGTCCTAGCAGCATGTTCTGTCTCCCCCTGTACATCCAAACAGACCAATTTCTGCAAAATTGACTCAGAGCCGTGCTAGACCTTCTCCCCCCTCCAATGGTGCAAAAGTTGAAAACTGGCGGAAAGGGTCGGCACCCTGCTTTTGTTACCTGTTACATCGGCAGCGGGGATGAAGCAGAGCACCACGAGGATCCCCAGGAGCATGGTGCTGATGGTGGGCCCGCGGCCTTGTCCCCACCCCCTGCAGGCACTCCAGGTCTCCCCGGGCCCCGCGCCACCAGCCGTCCCGTCCCCGTGGGGCCAGGCTGCACCCTCGCTTGCTCACACAGCTTCTCTCCTCCTCCCTCTGCGGCACATGATGCACAGCCAAGTGAAACCACTGCAATGGAAGTGTTCGAACAGGAAGTTCACTCGTTTGGTGGCTTTACCCTTAGGAAGTTTCCCCTGTGCCTCTGCAAGACCTAGTAGTGCCTGCCAGCAGCGCAGCCCACCCTGCGCAGTGCAGTCGCTGTGCTGCAGGATGTGTGCTACTGCCTGGGGCTTTGCAGGGTTGCCCCTACTGGGGGAGATGTGGATCCCCCAGAGGTGCAGTGCTCTTCCTTTACCAAGAGCATATACATACCACTCCATTCCCATTGCCACGGTAGAAGGGAACAGCAGTTTCCAAGTTCCTGGTGGCCAAACCTGGCCCCTCAGGAAGCTGTGTGCTCAGGAAGCCCAGCTCTCCTCGCTCCCAGGAGCAGAAACCTTCCTCCCTTGGCCTGCTGCCTTGCTCCTACCTGCCTTCCCAGCCACCGGGAATGCCAATATATTTTAAGAGCAGTGATCTAGGTTTGTCCATTTGCATTGTGCTACATCAGCTTACCATCTAAATGCAGTCCAAACAGTGCAAGGAGCTGATCTGTTATACCTTCCCTTCTGGAAAAACATCCTGAGTTATAAATGAGTATCACTGTAGTCCAAAAGACATCTAAATAGAGGCAGCATGCAGCAAAGCACACTTCTCAACCAATGCTTTTACTAAAGTCTTACTATTTAAAGCTTTTCTCTTGGCCTCACCTGATAAATGCTCACTCTTCTTTGCCCTGCAGACCTGATGTCACCTCTCCCTTTGAAACAGCCGGATCGTGAGAGTGCATTAATGGCTTTTGTAACTGGAGAGCTCTGGCTAATAACTATTTACTTCTGTCCACCAAAGTAGAAATATTCAACTATCAATGCCTGTAGCTATCTGTGATTTAGAGAGAAAATGGGAGGTGCTTAGCAGGAAGACTTTAAAGGAAACTGGGCTGTTGTAAAAAGGATGAACTGTTCTTCCTTTTCCCTTAGCCTCTGAGGTTTTTAAGCTGTGTTTTATTTAAAATTATCTATGTAATCTAAGAGCAGCCTTACCTGGCATACCCATTTACAGTCTAGGAATTTTAACAAGATTCTTAAGGTTTGTAATTGATGTAAATTTCTTGCAATATTGAAAGTTTTGAAATTCCCTTGTGCTTTGAGAGAGAGAGAGAGAGAGAGAGAGAGAGAGAAGTCAGATTCTCTCTTAGCCCACCTTTGTGGTTTCTCAATAAATATCCTGATGCTTTATTTGAATTCTGTGAGTGTGCCTGCAGTTATCAGTGGAAATGTCCCAGCTTAAACTGAAGGGAGAATCCCCCAACACAATTAGAAAATTCATTATCTTTTTGCTGAGTTGCCCCCTCTTGGAGATGAAAAATGCTGCTGTCATGTCTTCTGGCTCAGGTAACTGCACAATGTTTATAATGCCTGCTGCGTGCTCCTGCACCCTGGCTGTCAGATCCTTTCTGGATTTAGGACACAGACTCAAAATGCACGGAGTACACTGTCCGCTCGTTACAGGGTTAGCAGAATATATATATTGCATTGGGCAATAACAAAAGAGGAGAGCAGCTAGAGCCATTCATTGCACTGGCATATATTGGAAAAGGATAAGCAGAGGAATCCTGACTGTGGAAACATTTTAGTGTCTCTGCAGCTATGTATGAAGAGACTCTGCCCTAGGAATACCGCTAACAAAAACCAAGAGGGGTCAGTGTGGGCTCCCTTCAGCGTGGCCATGAACCTGTTCTACCCCTTATCCTTCCTCATGTGCCTCTCCCACAGTGAGGACAGACCAAAGCACCAATTGTAAACAGAGACTGGACTGGTGGAATAGAGGAGAGGGAAGCAGGACCACTGAGAAATTATCCACTGAAGGTAGCCCTAGAGACCAAGCCATGGTGTATCAGTTCTCCTTGTGCTGATGAACAGCTCTATCAATATTGCCCTCCCCAGAGCCTCCAGTCCTTCAGTCTTGCTTTTAGTTTTGCCTAATGGTTTCCTTTTGATCCTTGGAGTATAGAAGGGCTTTTTTTCTTATTATTATTATTTTTTCTTCCTTTTTTTTTTCTTCTTTTCAAATAGCTCCCAACTCATCTGCATTTCTTAGTTTTCTAGGGTTTTAAAAGGGCACAAAGCATCATTGTGTTCTCAAGAGTATGGCTTCTTTCCTTATCCAAATTGCAGCTCTTGCTCTAATTTAAACAGTTCATTTCCAATCACTGAGATACTTGACTTTGTCTCTTTATATGTATGATCTTTTCCTATTCCTAAAGTTTTCATGAGGTTAGCTGAAGAAGATATTATAGCTTTCAGCAAGCAGTTGTGCACTTAGAAGAAACCACAGTAAAACTTATCTGGGAAAAGAAACTGAAAATGCCCCCCAGTATACCCTCATACGTATTTTTTCATTATTCTCCTAAGGACTCTGAGCATCTGTCCTTCTATACTGTGAGCGTTACCAGAGGGTGTTCTGCTGCGGTGTTCATTCAGGCACCATTCACTCCTATCCTTACCCCATTTTTCATTCAGACTTCAATCTGTTGAGTCTGTCAGTGCTCTGGCAGACAGGCTCTGCTTGCTGTCACAGCGATGGAAATCCAGGCTAACATGATAACTGAGGTGGAGCTAGAACTCTGAGAGCACTGAACAAGCTAAAAATGTAATTTGCCTGAGTTTGGGAAGCAGGTTTTCATCCCATCACCAAATGGCTGACATCACAGTCCAAAAGAAGTGAATGAGGGGTTTGTAAATGGGTTTCCAAGGTACACAGGAATCTGAACTATGGGCTTGTGGTTTACCCATCACAGGATGTACATATAATAGCAGTCCAGGTATTTGATTGTAGCTTTTCATGCCTACTGTTCGAAAACCAAGCTCTGACAAGAACTATGACCTGAGCATTAGAGAAAGCTGGTGACATCTAGTGTGGTTTCTCAGAGTATTATTTGGGTATATTTAAAGGAGTCTCAAGAAATCCTAAGCAGGCTGCCAGTACCACAGTTGCTCCCAGCAAGTAATCCTGTTCTTAGACAAATAGAAATGTACATGCATGCTAGAAAAGTAATTGCAGCAGCATACTGCCATTCGCTTATTCCTGAGGACTCCAGTCTCATGGGACATCAGTAGGTCACTAAAATTCCCATTTAAATAATGTAGACGATAAACTTTCCCATCACTGGGCTACAGTCCTACGGTTCTGTACAAAGGCTATATTTAACAGCTGCCTCTCTTCCCCACCATGAAGAATAATAGCACAGATATTTATTGAGCAGCCTAGGTAGGCTTATTCTGTGTGCTTGTATGTTGTCAACTGCTAGAGCAAATGCCTTCATTTGCACAACTACGAGTCTTAAAACATGTTTATTCTTCCACTGCTGCTGCAAGTGATGGTTTGTTATGAATATCATATGAGTAAAATGGAAGGTTGATACTTTCAAATATTTATTACAGGGAGAATGTGCTCTTACCTGGCTGCTGTAGAGGTGCAGAAGTGGGTTGACAGCGTTTAAAAAACAGTCAATATTATTCCTAACTATAGAGACCATGTCTGATCTATGTTATTCATGCCCGGCGGTGTCCCAGGCTAAGTGTAGGGAGTAAGTAACTCTAGGGAACTGTGCAGCATTTGACATCTGAAGTACTTCATAGTTACCTGTTGTTTTCACTTTACAGATGAGCAATCACAGTAAGGCGAAGAGACTTTGCTGAAGACATACCTCAGGTTAGTGCCAGAGCTAAACATCTCACTGAGGAGCCCCATGCTCTTTAGCTACCAAGGCTGAATTGGCTTTCTAATGGCATCCATTCTGTATCATTCCCTTGTGCACTCATGAATTTTCACTGTGTTGTGAGTCTTTTCTTTTCTTTTCTTTTCTTTTCTTTTCTTTTCTTTTCTTTTCTTTTCTTTTCTTTTCTTTTCTTTTCTTTTCTTTTCTTTTCTTTTCTTTTCTTTTCTTTTCTTTTCTTTTCTTTTCTTTTCTTTTCTTTTCTTTTCTTTTCTTTTTTCTTTTTGTGAATCCAGATGCCTTCATACCATGAGTATGAATCAATATACTCCTTCAAAAGGAATTTTAGGTTGGTTTTCTGTACCTTAAAATGTTTCAAGTAATGTCTGATACATAGCAGCCAGACTTTACTATCACATGTCAAGCAGGAAGGGAGATTTCTTTTTGGAAAGATGTGAAATGTTTGTTTCCAGCCCTAAAGAGAGTAGCCCATAAATGTGTCACTTATCTAGGACTAAGATCTACAATCAAACACATGTAATTTTGAGAGAGCTTGAGGGAAGCCTTCCCTATTTGGGGAAGGAAACATTTCTTTGACAGTGTGATTATTTTTTAATGCCAATAGCTGGAAGCTGTTCATTAGTGTTTGTTGGGGAAAAGATGGAGAGGGGCAGGAGTTCACACGTATACATTCCTGGCTCTTTTTAAGTTAAAAATCTCATCCAAGTTTCAAAGTTGTAACTGTTTCTTCTGGCTGTACCTATTCCTGGCTTGGACTGTTAGGATAAGTATCAAAGGCAGTGGATTTAATGGATAGAAAGGGAATAGCTCAAAGCTGCATGATTAACTGCATCTATCACCTGCCTGTAATACGACATACAGCTGCTGCTTCATTAGAGGTCGCATGTTCAGGTAGGAACACCTGAAAGAAGGCATGTGGATGAGTACATACATGCTGAGTGTTCCAGGTAAAAATTTTTAAGATTAAGGTTTGAGGGAAGGTAATTTCTGTTCTGCCAAGTGACAAAGCATTTCTGGTAGCTGCACTGCCTGCTCCTTATTTCTGGGCTTTCTGGGATTGTGCTGAAAGTCTGTCACAGAGAGCAGGCCGAGCCTGGGGGTACACATCCAGTATGATCAGCACTGAGTAGGCTGGCCTGCCAACTGTGCCAGCATCTCCTTTCGGAGAGAAATAAACGACCGAAATCACGTCTGCCAAAAGCAGCACGTGAGCAGTATGGATAATCAGGAAACAAGAGTCCTGGGGTGAAATAAGAAGGAAATCAAGCTGGCTGTGTAGACACTTGAGTCACTTGGCAAATGTTATGCGTAGTAAGGGAATGCTGTAGCCAGGGTTTCAAGGGAATTGTCTGCGCTGCATTTATTTGCAGAGAACAATCTACATAGCCTATATTTATGGGTAAAGCCTCAGCAAGAGAAAACACTCCCACCTCCACTGGGTTCAGCAGAATCAGGACAGCCCAGGCTCAGCTCAGAATATTAGCTTTTAAGGCTCCCATAACCAGATACATTTTTAAAAGCTTTAACTCCTTCACTTCCTCCTGTTGTATTTCTTTTTTTT